GGGCGCGCTCTGCGGAGGCCCCGCCCCCGCCTCTAGGCCCCGCCTCCTCTTCCGGGGCGATCTTGCTTCTCCTCCTCACCGCTCCCCCCAGCTGTCTGCTCTCCTGGAGAGGGTCACCGTGACCCCGTGCCGAGGGGCTGGCGGACTCCGGGCGGCCCTCCCCCGGCCTGTGAGAATTTTCCCTTATGGGGTCTGGGAGACTAGTTACCCGGCTCCAGGTGAAGACCCCCATCTGATGACCTGCCCCCATCACCGTGGTCTGTGGAGCCTCTGTTACCTACTGTGAGCTGTCCTTCCCCAACTCCACGCGACTGTGACTACATCCAGGTCGCCAGCAAACTCACACACATCCTTTTTGACCAAATGGTTCCACTCCCTCCATATCAGTGACTGTTAAGAGGTTCCTACCCCCTCTCCACTCCTGAGTCCTTGCCATTGGCTTCAAGGCTTCAAGGGATGGTTCACTCACACCTGGCCTGGGGACACCTGAGATTATGTGACCACATATAACCTCCCATATTCCTCTGACCAGATGATTCTCCCATTCCCTCCCTATGACTGGGGATCCCTTCTCCCCAGTCAGACTTTGTCATTGGGCTCAGCAGATCCCCTGCCACCCTCTATTCACATACATCAGGCCCCTTCATACTCCTCTGGCCAGTTTCACTATGACCATCTTAGTGACTGTGTCTAGCCCCTCAAAAATACACACCTAACCCCCAGCCTGGAGACTGTCATCTGGACTCAATGACTTCCTCTTCCCCACACACCCATACTGACCTGGCCTAGGGACACAGGAGACCAATATGGTGATACCTAGCATCCTAGCACTCATGTAGTGTGCTTCTCCTCTGATTCCACCATCTCAGTGCCTACCTTACTGGCATCTTGTCATCTGGAATTAAGAGTTGTCCCCCTAAAATCCCCACCTGCCCTGGGATCACCATGATTACGTTTAGTCTCTTTGTTATGTCCCACAGAACCCTCTCCTCAAATCCTCTCAGCAGGAGGGCATCAGATTTCCCTCTCCACACAAGCCTGATGAACAGCACCACACATGCTCTCTGTGTCTTTCTTGCCTTCTTTAATATCCTCTCTGATATGATCCTTGTAGCTTATGTAGCTCCTGTGGTGTCATCCTGACAGGAGGAAGACACCCTATATCTGGGTACTTTAACTACCCCCTACTCACCCAGCCTGACTTCCACAGCCTGACACCCACCCCAGTCTGTGTGTAGGGCCCATTCCCTATCCCTCCCTCCCTGGATCAGCATGGGCTCCTTCCTGAGAGTGTCTCCTGGGGGGCCCAGAGAAAGCCCTGAAATGGCAATTCTGGTATTGGACACTCCCTGGGTTAGGAAGCCCAGCTAGGATGGGAGGGTCCATGCTGGGCTTTGCAGTGCTCCCCCCACCCAGCATGAACAAGGCAGGACTGAGTATGGGGCCTGGGGTGCCTTATTGGGGTGGCTGTCCCAGGTGCAGAACAAGGCACAGCGAGGCCCAAGGCGGGCAGGCCCTTGAGGAGCCCCACTCTAGGCATCTATGTCTGTGTCAGCTCCATCCCATCCTTCCAGTCCTCCCATCTGTCGGTTTCTACCCATCTCTGCAGTTTGGTGCCTCGCGCCCTCCCCTCCTCATTATGATTTGATTTCTTTTCTTTTGGACAAATCGGTTGTTTCTGTTGTGATTTATCGTCGTGTTGTTTTTTTTCTTCCTTTTCCCCATCCAGTTATTGTGATCACTCTAAGCCCTGCTCCTGCCCCGTCCCAACGAGCAGGTACCAGCCTTTTTATCATCGCTGCTTGGACATCTGCACCATTGACTTAACCGCTGCCCTGGCCGCAGAATCCCATCCCCCATCCCCCCATGCCTCGCGTGTGTGTATGTGCGCGTGCGCATGTGTATGTGTATGTGCACTTGCACACACATACACACCTCCTCAAACTCTCTGTCACTCTCCCTCCATGAGATCCACATCAGGCCCACCCCGCCTCTTCCTCTGTGTCCTCTCACCTCCCCCACCTCCCTGGAGGAGGAACTGGGCTCCCTCACTGACTGTAAGTGTGTCACTTGTGAGGGAATCACGTGTGTGTGTTTGTGTGTGTATGTGTGTGTATCAGTGAGGAGAGAAAGTGGGACCAGTGGGTCTCCTGTGCCTGTGTATCCATTTCAGCAATTCAGGAAACATGGTTTGACCCCTGTGTGCTGTGTTTTTTCTAGGCTCCAGGGGCACAGCAGTTAATAAAATGGACCAAGCGTCTCTCCTTGTGCAGCTGATGCTCCACTAGGGGTGGGGTGAGGTATGAACAGTGAGCAAATTCCTGGTCAGGGAGAGCTGGAGAAGGGTATGAACCTTGGAGAAAGGACAAAGTAGAGCAGGGTTGAGGATTCTGCAGCAGGGTGGTTGGGGCAAGCCTCTGGAGAAGGTGAGATACATATATATATTTTTTTTTTTACAATTAAAACCTGTATTATAGGTTTAAAACATGCTCTTGGCTGGTTGTTTCAGTTGGTTGGGCATTGTCCTGTGCACCAGGAGGTTGCCGCTTCGATTCCTGGTCAAGGGCACGTGCCTGGGTTGTGGTCTCGATCCCTAGTAGGGGGTGTGCAGGAGGCAGCCTATTGATGTTGTGCTTTCACATCAGTGTTTCTCTCCTTCTCCCTTCTTCTCTCTCTAAAAATCAATGAACTATTCTTTTTTTTAAAAATCCTCAGAAATGTAAATTCTACCAGCACAGGATTATAGATGACAAGCCTCACCATGTTGTGGAGGATTTCTGTTACTGGATACACAGTAATAAACAAAACCACTTCTGTTTTACTCATGAACATATATGGAGAGCCTCAGACCGTACCTTGGTGGAGGGCTGTCCATTATTTTTGGTGTCTTGTGCATGGTTCCAACTGCCTGTCACTTGGGAAGACTGTAAAATGATTCGTTCTGGAAACAAAGCCTTTTGGGAGGTGGTGGGGAGCAGGTGAACAGAGGTAAGGAACAGCCCAGCCAAGGCCTGAGTGCAGGTGCCAGTGGGTCTAGGAATGGCTGTGTGCAGCACAGCCCCATGCATGTGTGCGAGAGACCAGGCTGGGGGTCTGGTCCTGTTGGTCCTTGTGGGTAAGTGGGACTAGGTTGGACAGTTGTATGTGTATAGCCTTGTGTGTGTATGTGTGTATTTGTGTAAGATGGTGTTGGGGCCTCTGTGTTATACCATCTACCTGTCCCTCTGTGTGTGGGGGTTTGTGCCATGCCCTGTGTGTATGTGTGTGCGCGCGCCTGTGCATGTGTGCTGGCTGACAGCCTGGTACATCTATGGTTCCTTACAGCCGCTTGCCCCCATGTTCTCTCCTATTCTCTCTAATTCATTCATATCTCTCTCTCTCTGTTTCTCTTTCTCATTCTCTCATTCACCTTCATGCTCTCCCTCTGTCCTCCTGACCTGCTTCGTGGCCTATCACCACCTCAGTGCTCACTGACCACTCTAGGACTTTATGTATCCCCCCCCTCCGCCCACCACTTCGAATGCCACTGTGCTTCAGTTTGCAGGGCTGGTGGAAGCCTCTGTCTCCCAGCAGCCTTTTCTGAGGCTCTGTGGCAGCTCTTGAAGGTCCAGTGGCCTGTGTGAGAGAGGGAACCCATGGGGTACCGAAAAGTATGGAGAAGATAGAGATGTGGTCCTCCCCCAGAGAGCTGACAGTGCAGTGCAGAAAAGGGGTCCAGATACCTCTCAGGATGAGAACCTGGCAGTGTCTCAAGAGAGTCAAGGTGCTAGGGGATTACAAGGTGAGATTGTTGAGCCAGAAAGGGAGGGCTTACGACTCTTGTTCAGGCCATGGCATAGCAGAAGTATAGGGATGTTACAAAACCAGGGGCAGGATGGGGGGCATGGGAGTTAGTTGAGGGTTCTGAGCTTGAACTATGTCCCTGGAGTCCCCAGAACTCTGTCTCTGCTCCTGCCAGGCCCTAGCAGAACCTGTACCCCTTCCAGAACTACAGGCCAGGGTCATATACCTGCACCCTCACCCTGGCTGGGATCAAGGTCCTGGGCCAACAGGGCAAGGAAAGTGCTTGGCCGCCAGCAACTCAAAGCATACCCGTTGGTCACTGGGCCTATGTTATTAGATGCTCACAGAACTGTGAGAGGAAAAGATGGTCTTCGATAGGAGGGGTGGAGAGAGAGAGAAGGGGCATCAGCTGGGAGCAAGGCCCTAGGCCTGCTCTCCATGGGAAGGTAACCTGGGAGGGTGCTTGTAGCCAGTGCTCTCCCCAGCCAAGGACCCCCTTCCAGAGTGCCAGGGCCTCTGGGGTATGTGGGTTCAATGGAAATGTAGGATTGTCTTGTCTCCTCTGGGGGCCACAACAGCCTCTGCTCCTCCACCCTATTGCCAGCCCAGCCAAGGGAGGCTCCCACCCCCTCAGCGAACCTGCTCCTGTCCAGGCCCCTCTCTGGCCTGTCTCTGCAGCACCCTCAGTTTTGGGCAGCTGGGCCCCAATCTCGGCTCCTGTCTGTCTGTCTCCTGCCCTCCCATCCCCTAACGCTGCCTGCCTGTCCTGGGCTGTCCGCTGCCTGCCCGCTGCCTGCCTGCCTGCCTGCAGCATGCTAAAGCCATCTGCATGCAGGCTACTGGAAAGAACCAGACCCCTGCGTGGCCTAGCACCCCCTCCAAATCCTGCCAGTCCTATAGGGGCTGTGCCAGCGGAACCCCTCATCACCAGGACACAGGCCCACCTGGGGTGCTGCCCCCGCTCCTGTCCCTGTTGGCTCTAGCTATGTAGGCCAAGCTGGGAGGCTCACAGATGAGCCTGCTGGCCAGAGGGTGGCCCTCCCTGATTCAAACAGAATGTGGGGTAGGGGAAGCCTGGGTCCCTCGCCCACTGTTTCCCAGGGTGGTCTGCCTCACTTGTTAGGCAACCAAGTTAATTGCAGCTCCTAGGACCAGAGCCCAGGCTGATTCTGGTGGGCAATCCTGAGCATGGTCCTGAGCATGAGCACTGTGGCCCTGGGCAGAGGTAGGGAGGAAAGGGACATGCCAGGGAGGATACCTGTCTGAGGGATGTCATCAGCCTCCAGGCCTCGTTTCTCTCTCAGCATAGACTTGGGGGTGAACCATTGACCTCTGGGGACCACTATTCCCAGCCAGCCCACTCTGTTTCCTTTCAGGGGAGGGGGATGGGAGATATACCCTGAGAGTGGTTCCAAGGGTGAGGACCCCAGCTCCTCCCACCCAGCAGGGCAGGAGGTTGTGCTACCCTACCTGAGGGTTCCAAGGAGGGGAAGATCAAGGTCCCTAGCCCCCCAGATGCCAGCATTGGAGGTGGGGCAAGCTGGGTGCTAACTCCCTCCATGCCCCTGCCCTCTCACCCCCCCCTCCCCAGCCCTCCAGCTCCCACTGGCCAACGATGGCGGCAGCCGCTCACCGTCCTCGGAGAGCTCCCCACAGCAACCCACGCCCCCTGCCCGGCCCCGTCACATGCTGGGGCTCCCATCCTTGTTCACACCCCGAAGCATGGAGAGGTGAGCCTTCTGAGCAAGGCCAGCTGGCCTTTGGGAGGTCAGCATGGAGAGGGCTGCTGGGCTAGCCCCAGGGAGGAGGTGGTGAAATCTGTGGGAACCCCTGTGTGTTGGGAGCTGGGGTGGCCTCAGGTTGGTCAGGACCCTCCTCCACCCATACCCACCCCCTGTTCCCCCAGTATCGAGATTGACCAGAAGCTGCAGGAGATCATGAAGCAGACAGGCTACCTGACTATCGGGGGCCAGGTACCACCCTTTCTCCAGCCCCCGGTGGGTGGGCAGGACACAGTGGGGCTAGGTCTATGTGGTGGGGCAGAGGCTGGGCAGACCCCCAGCCCTGACTCTCCTCACCAGCGCTACCAGGCAGAAATCAATGACCTAGAGAATTTGGGGGAGATGGGCAGTGGCACCTGTGGCCAGGTATGGAAGATGCGTTTCCGGAAGACAGGTCACATCATTGCCGTCAAGGTGAGCACCCACTCTGCCCAGGTGAGTCCCACGCCCCTCAGTTCTGGTGCTAAGGATCTTTTCCCCTCCCCCTGGCGTCCCATCCTGTGCAGCAAATGCGACGCTCGGGGAACAAGGAAGAGAACAAGCGGATCCTCATGGACCTGGATGTGGTACTCAAGAGTCACGACTGCCCGTACATTGTGCAGTGCTTTGGGACCTTCATCACCAATGTGAGCCTGGCTGCCAGCCCATTCTTTTCTGCCTACTTCCTTGAGTCTCCCTTGCTGTTCTCTAAGTGTGCCCCCAAGCCCTTGTCCTCTTTCCCTGATTGGGGTGGGCAAGAGGGTACGGCCGCCCCCAAGCCGTGCCTGCTGCCCCTGCAGACGGATGTCTTCATTGCCATGGAGCTCATGGGCACCTGTGCTGAGAAGCTGAAGAAGCGGATGCAGGGCCCCATACCTGAGCGGATCCTGGGCAAGATGACGGTAGCGGTGAGTGGCCAGGCTGGGGCGGGGGGCCCAGGCCCCTTCTCCCCTCCACCCTGTCACAGTGCCCTCCCCTTTCCTCACAGATCGTGAAAGCACTCTACTACCTGAAGGAGAAGCACGGTGTGATCCACCGGGATGTCAAGCCCTCCAACATCCTGTTGGATGAGCGGGGCCAGATCAAGCTCTGCGACTTCGGCATCAGTGGTCGCCTTGTCGACTCCAAGGCCAAAACACGGAGTGCTGGCTGTGCCGCCTACATGGCAGTAAGTGGGGACCCAGGTGGCCTGGGCAGTGCCCCTGCTCCAGCCACAGAGATCCATTTTTTCCTTTCCCTGTCTACTCTTCCCCACCTCTTCCCCTACAGCCTGAGCGCATTGACCCCCCAGACCCCACCAAGCCAGACTATGATATCCGGGCTGATGTGTGGAGCCTGGGCATCTCCCTGGTGAGTTGGGGCCCCTCCTCCTGAGGGCTTGGGTGACCCATTATTGGGATATGGGAGGGCAGGAGCTGTTCTTGACCACTCCAGCCCTCCATTTCTCCCCAGGTGGAGCTGGCAACAGGACAGTTTCCCTACAAGAACTGTAAGACGGACTTCGAGGTCCTCACCAAGGTCCTGCAGGAAGAGCCCCCACTTCTGCCCAGTCACATGGGCTTCTCGGGGGACTTTCAGTCATTCGTCAAAGACTGGTGAGGAGCCCCTACCCACACCCTCCACTGGGGGAGGTGGGCAGGGCAGGTGTGACCCCGAGCTCAAGGCAGCCAAGGGGGTTTGAGGCGGGAGGAGGCTGGAAAGCCTGCCCTCTGGGATGTGGGGTTGCTGTGGGCCAGAAGGGCTCAGGGCAGGGGCTACAGATGGGAGCCAGAGCCTTAGAAGCCATGACTTGGGTTTGGGTTTGGACTTGGCCTGAGGGGACAGTGCATTTGGCTGGGTGGCCTGGAGCTTCACCTCAGGAGGCTATAAACAAGCAGAGGACTGAGGGCTCTGAGCATCCTGTACCAACAAGCAGAATTATGTAGACAGGACATCCATATTGGACCTTTCCTCGGGGGAATTACCTGCTACTGGCACCTTACAGCACTGTTCACGCCCCCATCCCAGGTGGGTGCAGGCCTCGGGTCCTCTGAGATGTCCTAGTTGGTGACACAGCACTGGGAGGACACAGTAGCTCCTTCCCACAGTTTTTGCAGACCGCTGGTTCAGCAGGTAGAACAGCTGAGTCCCTCTCCAGGCTCTCACTTCCCTTTCCTCCTTTCTTTCTCCAGCCTTACTAAAGATCACAGGAAGAGACCAAAGTATAATAAGCTACTTGTGAGTACTTGGCGCCCCTCCCCACCCTGCCCCAGCCTCACTACCCACCGCCTACTCATCTGGACACCCAGGGCCTGGGTGAGGCCAGCAGGGAAGCTGCCCTTTTCCTAAGCTCCCCCCTCGGGCCCTGCAGGAACACAGCTTCATCAAGCACTATGAGACGCTGGAGGTTGACGTGGCGTCCTGGTTCAAGGATGTCATGGCGAAGACTGAGTCACCGAGGACTAGTGGAGTCCTAAGCCAACACCACCTGCCCTTCTTCAGGTAGCTGCGTGGTAGTGGCTAGCCCCACTCGGGGGGCCAGGGAAGTGGCCACACGCCCCCTCTTCCCTACCTGGCCACCCAGCTGCCCACCAGGGGAGACCTGGGAACTGGACGGCGGCCGAGGGCTGAGGACAGAAAGTAGGGGATGCCAATCCAGCCCCGACTCCCTACCCAGCAGCCATGGACAGATGGGCGCACCAGGCCCTAGCTCTTCCAGTCCTGGGTTCAGCCGGCTGTACAAGTCCCCCAACAGACACTGTGAACGGAAGACAGCAGGCCATGAGCAGACTCGCTATTTATTCAGTCATAACCTCTGGGCTGGGGTGGCCACGGGCCAGGAGAGTCACCCTTCCTGCATCCTCCCATGTTCGACCCATGCTGTCCCTTCCACCTCGTGGTACACATGCTCCCTGTCTCCATCTCCCTCTGTCACCTTCCTTGATGCCTCTCTGGTTCTCCCTGTCTCCCTCCCTGCATCTTCCTCTCTCCTGGCCCCGCCCAGGCTCTGTCACCACAGCGGAACCCCGCGGTCCACTTGGGCCTGTGGTGAACAGTGAGCCCCTTGGCTGGCGTCCTCGTCCCAGGAAGACAGGCTGGGCATTGTGACTGCAGCCAACCAGGCTGCGCACGTTCACTCTTGCTCTCGCTCTCTCTCTCTTTGATCTCAGGGGGTCCTTTTTGGAGTTTATTGTATTTTATTGTACTTGGTGGGGTGTTTGGGGGATGGGGGAGTTGAAGAAGAGCTTGTTCTCATGGGGTTTGTCAGTACCTTCAGAAACTTTTACCAAAGTCATGTTTAGCTGCTGTGGTGTAGCCCTCAACCTCCCGTGGGCATTGGGGGGCTGGAGCCAGGAGCCAGGCAGGGGCCTGGGCCACTGTGCCTTGTCAGCCTGGTCTGGAGAGACTAGTCCCAAAGGTGGGTGCTGGGGGTGGAGGCTCCTCCCTTGGGGCTGAAGACTGGCCACAGCTAGGGGTGAGTTGAGGATCTCAGGCTGTGTGGAGGTAGCCCACGGGGCTGTGGCCACACAGGGTGGCCTTCAGGGAAGGTGGTTATGGGGCATGGTGGGAGGCAGTAAATGCTGGTGTGGCAGGGAGGAGGGAGTGAATGACAGTAGTGGGGGCCACAGGGCCCAGGGAGGCAGAAATTGAGGGTGTAGGGAATGGATGCGGGGGTTCGAGGATGTGTGACAGGGACAGAAGTGGGGCAGGCCAAGGGCTGTAGATGTGAAGGCAGTTATGCCCTCACAGTGCCCCTGAGCACCCCTCAACTCCCCCAGAGCTGGCCAGTCCCCAGCCCACCTTGAGGCTAGGCCATGGGGGCTCCTCTCCCCTCACCCCTCAGCAGCAGTCAGAGCAGGAAGAGGTATGTTTCCTTTTTTGTTGGTGATGCATGCAAATCAGTGGACAAACACACAGACCAACCAACGCCAAAGGTGATGAACCTCCCTGGATGTAGCTGAAGCAATCTAGACTCAGCATAGGCATCACTGTAACCTCTCTCTATCCTATTGACTCTTGTTACTCTTAACATAGTCACAAAAGGCCGCATGTTTAAAAAGTACTCCTTGTCTTCTCTCTACTCCCCGCCCAGTGTGTGTGTGGGGGGGGTGGCCACCTCTCTTGCTCAAATCCCCTTGTGACAATGGGGCAGGGTAGGAGGTGGGTGGGCAACAGGCCTGGCCCCACCCTTGGGGGTCCCAGCCACCATGGTAGCTTTTGCCCATAACCAGAAGGTTGAGTGGCTGGTTCCAGGGCCAGCAAAGGCTAGAGGCCAGCTGCCCAGGTTTATTTTTATTTAACTTAATTTTGTTTTGTGAGTGTGTGTCTGCCTGCCCCTCTCCTTCAGTGTTAAGTGGGAGCCCTGGGGGAGCCTCTCCCCCCCTGCCACTCCCCTGTTTCCTCCCTCAGTCTCCAGTTACCAGTGGTCCTTCTGGACCAGGCAGAGGGTTAAGCGGGCAGGCAGGAGCTTGGGGTGACGGCCCAGCCCACCAGCCCACGATCCCTTCTCAGGCTGCCAGTATTGCTCCTTCCCTTTTTAAAATGAAACACCCTTGTTTGTAAATCCTTAGATGCTTGAGAATAAAACCCCTCCCTTTTCTTCCACTGAGTCTGTGGTGTGACCTAAGCCTTGGCAGGATATGGCGTGAGATGTGGGAAGGGTCTGTAAGCCCTGACCTTGCGGTTGAGGGGGCTGGGAAGTGGTGCCATTCTGGTGGATAAGGTCTCTGCATCAAAAGGGAAACTGAGGCAGGGTTGTGGCTGGTAGTGTGGTCTTTGTAGTGATTTGCCCAATATCAAGCAGGCAGTATGGAGAGACACCTGACCCCCAATAGCCACAGGTTCTGCTGGAGAGGAGCTCTTAATCCCTGGCAGGCCTTGGATAAGGGCTCTGGTGTCAGCCCCTGTCTGCCACCCCCGCTCTCTGCCTCCCGGAGTGGCTGCCCAGCCAAGGACAGGGCCGCCTGCTTACCTCCTGGGCTTGGGTGCTGCCTGGACTGGTGCCTCTGTCTCTGGCCCTCACACACTTGCTGCAGCCAGTCCAGCATGCTGGGTACCGCAGTCCTGCTGGCCCTGCTCCCAGGGATCTCCACCTTGCTTGGTGGGCCACCTGGTATGTAGGGACTGGTAGATATATATGCCTTCATGCTCCCATTTCTGTGCCACCCTTTCTGGACTTCCCATTTATCTTGCTTGGGGGAACGGATGGGTGGGTGGGCAGTGGGGTCTACCCCTGTCTCCCGTTTCCAGGTTCTTTGGGATCCCCAACTTAAAAGTCCTCAGCAGCTGCTTGAGGCCAAGTACTGTGGGAGGGAAGGGGTCTGTGCAAATGCTTTTAGGGGATGTGTATGGGGGCCATCATGAATGTTTAAGAGACAAGGACCCTGTTGAGCACCTCCTGAAGGCAGACATCTGTACGGCCATGTATGCACTGCAAGTGCATGCCTGTCACTTTTAGAAGACCCCTGGTGGTGTTCCCTGGTGCCTCTAACCTTTGCTGCCACTGCCCTCAACCTGGGAGTGAGGAATCAACAAATGAAAAAGCCCCAGAACGTGGTGGCCAGGCTGGGCTTGGGCTGTGCCAGAAGGGCTGTGGGAGAGCACCTCCCGGCTCCTCCTCCTCCCGGCTTCGTTGGTGACAGCACCTATCTCCCCTTGGAAAGGGAAGGGTGGGACCAGCACAGTCCTGGCCCCAAGCTGGCTGTGCTGCAGTCCCTGGGCCCCTTACCCCCTTCCCAGTCTGGAATTCCCTTGCTCACTGTGGGGGAAGAAATGGAGTTCCAGGGAAGGGAGCCCCGCACCAGGGGCGCACAGCTTTGTTCCCAGCCTCAGCTGCTGGGCTGTAATGCCCCACGGGTCTCCAGGGAGTACATCATAGCTGCTGTCCCAACCGCAGTGAAGGAGGCGAGGAGCCTAGCGTGAGTGCATTCTCTACTGCTTACATTTTTCAAAGGAGGCTTGGAGGTTGAATTATTTGCCTGAGGGCCTAAGGGTCAGCCCGCACTTCCTCCTCTGTGCCACTCTTCCTCCCCTGCCAGCGCCCCCGTTTCCAGCGGCGCCCGGGTCGTGGCTGCGCCGACCCCTTTTCAGTCTAGAGCTGTCGGACACGCAGGACGCCTTCCAGCGCCGTGCGGGGCCACTCGAGGTCCCGGCGGACAGCCGCGTGTTCGTGCAGGTGTGGACCTGGGATGAGCTGGGCCGGGGCGGGCAGGTGGGGGCTGCCAAATCTGAAGGCAACACTCCATCCCCCACTCAGGCAGCCCTGGCCCGTTCTTCCCCGCGCTGGGGCCTGGCCCTGCACCGCTGCTGGGTGACACCCTCCTCACGTCCGGCCCCGGGACCCACCCTGGCGCTGCTGCGCGGGGGCTGCCCCGCCGATTCCTCCGTCGCCTTTCCGCCACCGCGCCCTGGGGCCGCCCGCTTCAGCTTCCGTCTGCGCCCGGTCTTCAACGCCTCTGTGCAGTTCTTGCACTGCCAGCTGAGCCGCTGCCGCCGCCTCCAGGGAGCCCACCAGACTCCTGCACCTCTCACGCTGCTGCCCCCATCGCCGGTGCGCGGGCGCGAGACAGGGAATCTAGGCTCCTGGGGACTGTCGGGCTGGGCTCGGGAGGGCCTTCAGCATCTTCGGGAGGAGCTCTCGGGGTTTGGGGACTCGAGGTTAGGGCGCCTGGGACATGGACCCCTCGGAGCTTGGGTTAGGCGCTGGGTCTCTCTCAGGCTGGGTGCAGGGTGTTTGAGGGACCCGGAAGGGCTCTGCGCAAGGATTTTTAGGGACAGGGAGTAGGCACTGAATTCCCTCGTGGACGGGGCACTGGGATTCCCTTGGGAGGGGCTCTGAGGTCCCTCCAGGGTTGGGTGTTTGGATAAAGAAAGCTACATAAGGGGCCAAATCTCTGGGTGCCTAAAGTTGGACTTCACAGGTTAGGTGCTCAGAGAGCCGAGTTTTGTTACCTTGAGGAGCTGAAATTTGGATTCTTCAGGAGCTGTGTGGCTGGCTGCTTATATATCTTATGGGCTGGGCTCAGGGACCCCCAAGGGGCGGGGTTTCTAGGGGTCTGGTGGTGAGACTTCTGGATGCAAAGAGAGCTGGACACTTAGATCTCTTGGGAGCCCTGGGGAACAGCCCCTGGATCCCAAGGCCCTCACATCCCTCTCTTCCCTCCCCTCCTCCCAGTGTCTGCCTCAGGATGAGGCGTGCGCCAGCGCCAGCAGTGGCAGAATTGAGAGTCTGGGTACCAACAGCCCCCACCTACACACGCTGACGCAGCCCATCATTGTCACGGTGCCACGGCCGCCCCCCAGTGAGCACGAAGTCCTCTGCGGGGGGGGTCCCTGGGGCAGGAGAACTGGAATGGGGAGGATTTCTGGGGCCTGGTCCCAGTCTCAGCGTTGTACTCCCCACAGGGCCACCCAAAGGCGTCCCCAGCAGAGCTGTACGCCCGGAGCCTCCTGCGTCGGCCCCGGTGGCCCTTGAGCCCGCACCAGTGGTGGCACTAGTGGTGGCCGCCTTCTTGCTGGGCGCCGCGCTGGTCGCGGGACTCGGCCTTGTGTGCGCGCATTCAGGTACCAACCTCGGCCCGCCCAGATCTTCACTCGGTCCCCAGCCTATTCTAGTGCTTCGGGACTCAGGGTCGCCACGATCCCAGCCAGCGGCGCCTGAACATCCTTAGACCTGCGTCCGTTACGCCCACAGCAGCCCCCAGGGGGCACCCTTGCACGGGGCCAGCGTTCAGCAACCCCTACTGCTCGGCAGCCTGCCTCTCCCTTCCAGCGCCCCTACCTCCCGGCCCACCCCCTAGAGCCTCGCCTAGCGACCCGCAGCCCAGAAGACCCCAGTGAGGCAGGTAAGTGTGTGTGTGTGTGTGTGTGTGGATGTAACCTAGAGCCCATAGGAGAGCTGGAGGAGGGAGGTGGTGATAATGACTCTTCATAGCGCTTTCTCTGTGCCAGGCAGCGTTCTAAATGTTTTACATATATTAACTAATTTAATCTTCATAAAAACCTTTAGGTAGATACTATTATAATCCCCACTTTAGATATGAGAAAAATAGGCACTCTCTGAAGTTAAGTAATTTATTAGAAATCACAAAATTTGGTAGAGCTGGGTGGGATTCAAGCTCAGGCAGTGGGTCACCTGTGGTGGACTGCGGGCTCTGTCCGAGGGCACTAGGCGAGAATTCGGGATTCAGACCGAGCATCTTCAACGCCTGAGCACAGACTGATGGGGGAAGCCAATGATCAGCTGAGAAGGTAGCCTGCGTAGTGTCCTCTCCCTAGGGTAGCCTGGATCGCCCCTTCTAGGGATGGTGCGCCCCCAGCAGGGTCTAGAGACGCACCAGCCAGACTTGTCAGACCAGACTCGCCAGTCTGGACCGACCGCCGGCGACCTCGGACCCCATGGACCACGATCCCTGCACCCTGCGCCCCTCACTCCTCCCATCTGGGCTCAAAATAAACATCTGGTTTGACATGCTGAGTTCTGAAGTATGCTTGTGTGCAGGGTTTGGTGGGGGGCAGGAAGTGGAGACTTAGCATCAGGACTGGGAGGATTCTGGGCTGGAAGAGATCCAGACAGAGCTTGGGGGCGGGGCTCATACGCCCATATGCTTGTGTGCAGATAGGGACCAGGGGAGACCTAGGGGCGCTTTGTCCTAAACAGAAAGGGGCACCCGACCCCACCAGGTTAAGTTTTAAATCCCGCTTCCTTCCTCCACCCCAGCACCGGACCATCTGCCTGTTTAGATCTTCCCAAACCCAGGCCTTCTCCGCTCTCTTCCCACTGCCCTGACCCGGGCCTCGCTAGAGCCTCGACCTCCGGCCTCTGCTCCAGTCTCCTCTCCTGTCAAGTCTAGAGCTCCTTAGATCCTTCCTATCCGAACTCCTCCCCTGAGCATTGACAAGTTCCATTTTACGGATAAGGAAACTGAGGCTGGGTACAGCTAAATCACTTGTTCAAGGTCTCCAGGCTGGGTGACCCCACAGCCCAGGTTCTTGGCTACTACTGGGCAGCTGCCCTTCCGGCTAGGGCCCACTCCTCTTCTAGAAGCAAAGCACACGGAGTTTCACAAGACTTAGTCCAGAAATGGAGAGAGGGCACAAGATCTAAGGTCTCGTCTCCAATTTACAAATGAGGTAAAATGCGGATGACCAGATCACGTTCGCCCCCTGCAGTTCGGATGCCAGCCTCTCCATCATTTCCCACCCGCAGGACTCCCTGCGTCTAGCCACGCAGAGCCACGCCTCCGTCTGCTTCCGCTTCGGCGCGGTGCTTTTTGGCCCCAGCGGCCTCCGTAACCCCGCCCCCCAGAGAAGCGGTCCTCGAGCGCCAACTCCGCCCTCACCGGCATGAAGCCCCCACAACGGCGGCGAGCTGCCCCGGCGCGCTATCTGGGGGAGGTGACTGGCACCGCCGTCTGGGGCGTCCGCGAGAAGCGGCAGCTGCTCCGACTACTGCAGACGCGGCGGGGCCAGCCGGAGCCGGACGCCGTCGAGCTGGCCAGGGAGCTGCCGGGTCGGAGCGAGGCCGAGGTGAGGGGGTCTCGGGAGGGAGCGAGGCTGGAGGCAGACCTGAGGTGTATCCTGGGTGGGTCCCAGGAGTAGACAACTGGCGTGGAGTGGTCGGACGAGCCCGAGCCTGGGGGCGGGGCGAACTTTGCCGTAAGG